TTGATAATTGGTAGTTTTATTTTTTTTGAATTTTTTATATAAGATATATATTTATATTTTTTTTACTGTATAAAACCGTATCAGCAAAGTGACCCTATGACCCTCCGGATGAACCTATGACCCCGAATCTCGGCCGTGTCAATGTCGAGACGAGTTTTTAACATTGCATCAAAGTCGGAATCTGGCCAACTCAAAAGAGTCCAGGAATGCGAAGCCGGACATAAATTGAACAGAGAGCCACAACTACCAAGTTAAGAACCATGCAAGTCAAAAAATTAAAAGATCGGGAACAAACTCGACAATAGCTGTTACAAATTCAAAAGACTCTCAGAAGTTCCCAAATCAGCAAAAAACAAAGTACAAAATAAAGTCAACATTGTAATATATAACTACTTGTCCCAAATTTCGGACGTAGACCGATTTAGAGCTCGAATTAAGGAAAAAGGCTAGAAGGCCAGTACCCCGGTCAGTCCAAACAAGGCAGAGCAGAGATACAAGAAAATGAACAAATAAAGTCTTCAAATAAAAAGGATCCGTGCATAATCGAAGCACAAAAATATTATAGTCCGACAGCCTAGACTTCCTGACTGCAGGACTGGGGGGGCAAGTGTAGGAACACAACTATCAAAATAGAACGATGAAAGACGACAAAGTTGAGATCTCGGTAAGGCGGTCAAATAGCAAGATCAGCCAATCCCGAGTTGGACCTCGACCAAAAAGATCGAGGGAGGAATACCGAAGCAGCATATTAAGTACTCGACTCACTAAGCCTGACACAAAAAAGAGCGAAATAGAAAAAATGAAATTCGGAACACGGATCAACAAGAATCCTTGGATTCTAGCTAAAACATCACAGCTCAGAAAGATCGAGATAAGGCCTCGACAAAGAGGTCAAAAGGAAAACTCTTCCACTTCTAATAGAGACATCATTCACAAAAGTTTGACCAACAATATTATAATTCAGCATGCTACACTTCGGACACCCAAGCTACCGCGTAGGGAAGCAAATGGGGATGTCCGAGGTAAGAATTCAACACAACAAGATGGCTGAATCCATATGCCACAAATTAAAGGCTAAAAAGGCTCGGACTAAGAACATGGTCGACCTATAGGTATCAATATATATAATAGTGAACGCGACTAGAAGCGGTGCACAGCGACCCAACCATACCTGTCAAATAAAACTAAAGCATGACATAATATACACCCGACAGCCTGGACTTTCAGACTGCCAGGCTAGAGGGTAACCGTTATGGATATTAGAAAGGCCCACATTCTAGAAGGTCCAAAAAGGGCTAACGACTAAGAGAGAATTAAGAAAAGATTTCTCAATTATACTAATTCGACTACGGCAGCAATAGATCATGAACCAGACCCCGATATTTCTAAGAGGCCTAGAAGTCCACTCCTGTCAGATAACCCATCTATAAATAAAGGGTTAAGCCAATAAGGTACACATTCTAAATCCTCTCTCTCTTAGATGTCATTGTGCGCACACCCCACCATTTAGCTATGTCGTGGTTATTATCATATACAGTGATCCGCAATTCTCTAAGGTACCTCCCCCAGAGGTACTTGAGAAAGGGCACATAGATTCGATATTAACATACTAATCTATAATTGGACATATCTATCACACGATAGAACAACAATAATAATGGCATATAGCTGAAGGCGTGTGGTGTGTGCATAATGATAACTAAGAGAGTATGGAGTTTAGAGAATGTAACTGATTGACTTAACTTCTTATTGATAAATGAGTTACCTAATAATAAAATTGTGTACCTCTTGAGAATATTGGGGGCCCAATATTCGATCCACTAATGATATGATAAGATAGATATCTTATTTGAAAGTATTGCTTTCTTATTTCTCTCTTGGGTAATTGTCTGTCATGTGCTGTTAAGATATGGGCGCATAAGATAGGTCAATAACATACCCTAATCACCATCGTTGTCTTATATAAAATGATGTAAAAGCTTTACGAAATTTAATTACAAGTTTGATGAAGAATTTTGAAAAACTTTATGAAAATAAAGGTAATAGCTTAAGTGGTTATATCCCATAACCCTTCTCCATAGAAAAAAAGAAAGATGAACCTCGCAGATATTCAAACAATCATCAAAATTGAAAACTTCTATAGTTATAAATCTCTTCGTGAGTTTCCTTTTTCAAATATTTTGAATCAGGTAAAAAACACTAGTGCAATGATTGTTCTAATGTTATAATTTTGTAAGTTAGTGCTTTATTGCGAGATTGTTTATGTAAACACCTATACGGTTGGCTGGTTGGGGATGAAGCTGGTTGGGCCTTAATTAATGTTGTTAACTGATGTGTGTTCGAATTGATTTTTTTTAATCAAAAGGGGTAGAGCCCCAACAAGGAAAAGAAACACAAAACAAATAGTGCAAATGAAATCAACAGACAACACAGGGAAAATGGGTGTCTGTAGCTCTAATTCGATCATCAACAATGAAGGATCTGATTTCTTCTGGCATAAGGTGGAAAGTTTGTGATCCCTGTTTCCTACGAACTGTTGCACTTGCTAACCAATCTGCACAATAGTTATTTTCCCTGACAATGTGTGCAAATCGAATTGACCAATTGCAATTGAGAATAACTCGAATCTTAGCAAGCAAAGCTTGCTCACGAGCAGCATCACCCCCCGAGGCAAGCAAGGCAAGAGCTTGTTTTGAATCATTGTCCACTATCACATTCCTCCAACTAAGCTGCCATACATATTTCAATCATTTTAGAATAGCCCAAAATTGTGCTCGTAGGGGATTACAAATGCCAATGAAGTGGAAAAAAACTCCTTGCCAATCACCAGCACAATCAAATTGATATTTTTTTAGAGAATTTTTTTTTAAAAAAAAAAAACTTTTTTTTGAAGAATTTTATGTGTAAATAGAAACTTTTAAAAAGACAGATTTTTTTTTTAAAAAAAAGGTTAAAATAATATTTTTTTAGAAGTCAATATGTATTTCTGACTCTCTAAGAAAAGGTGAACTTCTAAAAAAAAATATTAACATCCAAATTTCTTATCACTTTTTTTTTTTTTGATAAACAATTTCTTATCACTTAGTTTGGATGTTATTTTACAAATAAATATTAATGAAAAGAGTTTTTAAAGTGTAAATTTACACGCTGAAAAAAACTTTAAAAATAAATATTATTAGAGGTAAAATATTAACCCCATTCCAATCACTCCACCTCATTACTACCAGTATTATCACATATCCAGTAAGTTTATAATTAAAAAGTGCTTATTAATTTTAATATCCAAATAATTTTTTTTTAAAAAATACTTTTACGTGGTTTTCCAAATGGTACTTTAACTTTAAAAAAATTCATCTAAAAAAAGAGAGTTTTAGGGCTGGTGATATCTTTAAATAATGTAATCATATTTTATGATAAAGGATTTTGCTTATTGATTAGACTTGTTTAAATACCGTTTAAAAAAACATGTTTAAATACCATTTCAAATTTACACTTAATATTTTAAATCAAAGATCAAATGATGGTAGCTCAGTTGATGCATGAAAGTTGAATAAGTGGTGGAAGAATTTGGATTTGATCCCCACCAATACCATATTTGGGAGAGACATAAAATCTTAATCTCTTACCAGCTCCGAACTCGGGATTAGTCTCATAGTCGGCTCAAAGAGTTGAAGCTTGTAGGGATACTTAGGGATCCTACTCGTCTCAAAGAGATAATTATAGCTGGTATAAAAAATGTATAATTGATTCTTTAACATTGTATCATTGCCTCAATTTCATCTATTAGTCTAGACTTTGGATCTTTTTATTATGTTTCAACAAATCAATTTAATTTCAACATTAAAGATGTTCGGTTTGGGTAGATTGTGAATATTCACCGCTTAGGTGATAGATATATGCGCTCAGAGATATTTATAAGAGAAATATCGTACAGGCATATAGCCAATGTACCAATCACTGCGCACTAATAACATACATATAGCCAAAGCGTGGGTGATGTACCAATCACTGCGAACTAATAACGAGCATATAATCAAAGCGTGAGTGTGTGTGCTCAGTGATGGCAACAATAGAGAATTTAGAGTATGTACCCGAGAGGCTGGACTCTTTATTTATAAAAGAGGTTACCTATAAGTGTAGAATCCTGATAAGATTGTGATTGTTGGGAGATAAGATAAGTTATTTTATCCATATATATCCCTTGGAATTATCCTTATCTCTTTAGTCTATCACGTTATATTGTTTACCTATGTGTTACGTTGTTGAGATAGACAACTAATATGCTGGTCCATAAGAATTGCCCTTCAATTCCAGTTTCAATTTTCGAGCCATCTTTTAATGAGCACATGCAGACTAATTTACTCTCAAATTAACAGTCCATGAATAGTTCAATTGAATGAAGAGAAACTCCTTTTTGACTTTGAGTGATGTAATTTAATGAGTCTAAATTATTATATTCTCAAATCAAAAATCAATATACATTTGAATTTCATGAAGAGAAACTGTTGTACATTTATAAAGATTTTAATTAAATGAATAAAAACTGTTTTATTATCACTTCAACTATTTTGCATAAGCATTGAGTTGTTTTCCTTTGTTTTTCCTCCAACATGCACCGCCATTCATAAGTTCCTAGGTAATTGTCTTCTTTTTCTATTTGCTTTTAGTTTGGTCTTTTTATGCTTTCAATTTAAATTTGGAGCATACGTAGATTATTTTATTCTCAAATTAAGAGTCATTCAATAATTCAATTGAATGAATAGAAACTGCTGTTTGACTTTTGAGCTATGCAGTTTAATGAGAAAATTTGTTTTATTCTCAAATTAAGAATCAATAAATATTTCAATATTTCAAATGAATGAATAATAATAAAAAAGATATGTGGACCTGCAAGTATTCAAACAAGCATTGAGATTAGCAACTTTTTCTCAGTTATAAATTCTTCTTCAGCTCTCTCTCTTTCAACCATTCTAAATCTGCGTTAGAGAGTAACAAAAAAGATGGCCCAGGGAAGAGGCACTGCTGCAATGATTGCTCTAATGCTACTGTTTTGTATGTTGACGCTTCACTCTAGGATGGCTCATGCAAACACCTATAATGTTGGGGATACAAGTGGTTGGTCCTTTGATGCTATTAACTGGGCTAAGGGAAAGGATTTTATGGCTACTGATATCCTCGGTTAGTATTATCATATTTTGTGATTAAGGATTTTACTTGTTGATTAGACATAATTAAATATCATTTATGATATCCACTTAATATTTTAAACATAAAACATATAGATATACCATCTATTAGCTAGGCTAGAGTTTGAATCTTTTTATTATGTTTCTACTAAATCAATTTAATTTCTACATAAAAGAGTTATTTTTATATAATTTTTTTTTTTTTTTTTTTTTTTGGAGTTATCCAACCCTAATTATCTCTTTGAGACGAGTTGGCTCCCTCCGGTATCCCCACGAGCTTCGACTCTTTGAGCCGGCTATGAGACTAATCCGGAGTGCGGGGGAACAGTGATGGCTAAAGGTTCAGCCCCCTCCCCAAGAATGCATTCAGCGGGAATCGAACACATATCCAACCCCACTAACTCAGCGCCAAGTTACCAACTGAGCTGCACCCATTGGGTTTTAATATAATTTTTGTGTGTGCAAGAGAACATATTGCAAATAAAGTTTAATTGTTTTCTCAACATGTCACATTTTTTATTTTGTTATTATTATTGTTTTATATATATGTGCAGAATTCCATTATGATCCTGCTCTTCACAATGTGGTGGTAGTGGACGAGGATGGTTACAATGCATGTAATATTCCAGAAGGAGCAAAAGTTTATCAGTCAGGAGACGATCAAATCTCGCTTGCCCAGGGAATGAATTACTTCATATGTGGTATTCCTGGTCACTGCCAGGGTGGGATGAAAATTGCAGTAAATGCTTCTTGATTTATATATATGTACTTGAATTTGGGTTTAATATAAACTTAGGTTATTAATTATCTATATGCTTTGATAATTTTAAGGTATTTGCACACCTTAACGCCTTAACCTTTTGCATCTTTATTCAAATGTGATGATGCTAAGTTGGTGGCATATTAATTTCATCAAAAAAAGTTGTTTCTCTAATTAATATTTTCTTTTTTTGTGATATAATAACTTAATGTTGATTCATGGGCCATCCCACTTTTACATATTAACAATGGGTAAAACAGTTGACAAGAAATTCGAACGGACTAAATAATAATTACAGTTTAACACATGAACACGAGTGTCAGTCAAAATTAATTTTCCCTGTCAATTAATTTTCTTTGCTTAATTAATTATCATCGTCTATATATTTTCAAATTTCTTTGTTTATCTTCGCTATTAACAGGTGAAGAGTTGGACACGATAATAAAATAAATCTTAAAAGTTTGTGCGACTTGAATCATTAATTAAAAAAATAAAAAGACTTGTTCCGAATCGGATTAGTTGCGAAATAATGAATCCATTGAAATATTTTCAAAAAAAAATAAAAAAAATCCTTCAATTTCTTAATTTTCTTTGAACATCATTCATAAGTTTGCCGGTAATTAATTATCTTCTTTTTTTTTTTTTTTTATAACAATTATCTTCTTTTTCTATTTGCTTTTGTTTTGTTCTTTTATGCTCTCAATTTCAATCTCGAGTTTAGAGCCGTCATCTAATGATTTAATTACTCTCAAATTAAGAGTCATTGAATGTTTCAATTGAATGAAGAGAAACTGTTTTGACTTTGAGTGATGTAAATTAATGGGTATAAATTATTATAGGAGAGGGATATATTGACAAATATTTTTTTTTACAAGTTTATAAACTATATTATATTATCGGTAAGACTCTTTTGAGTGAAATGAAATCTTATCAATAAGACATAATATAGTTTGTAAGAATTTATAAATAATTTTTTTTTGTAAATATAACTTTTCCCTTAAAAATTTGTAAATAAAAGAATTTAATGCATTCTAAATCAAGAATCAATAAATATTTGAATTATATGAATAGAAACTGTTGTATTTTATAAATATTTTAATTAAAAGCATAAAAAGTGTTTTATTTTCACTTCAACTATTTTGTAACGCCACATCAGTTTTTTTTTTAAGATATTTCAATTCGTTTATTGCTTTGCAACTAGTTCGATTCGAGACGAGTCCCGAAATTAAGGTTTTAAATCCCTGGAGAAGATCGAAAATATGCTCTCTCCCTGTCTGCTCAATTTCCTGACGCCAACTAAACTATCATCATTTAATAATATCGGCACATTAGTTATGATAAACTTTATTAAACTATTGTGTCAATTATTTTTATTTTCATTAGCTTGATGCGATGCGGCGATGGTGGCAAATTAAACTTGGAAACATATTAAACAGGAATTGATGCAATAGCAAACACAAAATAATTTTTAAAGGAATACAAATGAGAGATTGAAATTTAGCACATTAATGAATCATAATCTTTGTCATGTATGCTTTGAAAATTGCTATTGTAGTCATATACATTAATACGCATGCGAGTATGAAATTAACTAAAGCAATTTTAATTTACATTATAATGTTTCTTCAAATGAATTTCTTAAAAACTCATATTGCTAAATCCAAAGCTATAATTAGCTATTGTTGTGTGGATTAGTTAGATCTGCGTACTTACTACTTCGTAGCACTTTTCTTACAATTAAACCTACACTTAGTATGAGTGTAGTTTTCGCTAGTATTTTCGTTTTTTCTCTTTCTTTTTGTTTCCTTATCAAGTGTATATATTTATTTTAAGAATTAATTCATTTTTAAATATAATATGCTACCAAAATTTTTCGGATTAAGATCAGATGAAACCAAATAATCAATATGTTGATTTTTTGATCTCATAAGCGTAGGAAATGAATTACTTTTGTTTTCCGTTTTAGTAAAAAAGAGTTTATTTCCTTAATTTCTTTTACAACGATTTGTCCTCAGGTTCCCAATTCGGAAATTATCCAATATATAGTCATGTACAACAAATAAAAATTGTTCCAAAAAATATACATTTGAACCTTTTATTTATGGAGAGATTCTTACTTAAAGTGGAATAAACTCAATTGGTCCAACAAGACTTGGGGCCATAACATATGTCCACAAGAACTTGAATTCTCTATAATCTACAATCTCAACTTAGTAGTAAACAAATTTAAGAATGTGTCATGTTAAGAATGCCCCAATCTTAATCTTGTGCCATTATATTTGTTTACTTGTTAAATGAATTATCTGTGTACCTAAGAATTTCTCTAGCTCTAGGCTCTAGAGGAATCCTATGCTAGCTGCTACAACCGCAGCCCTCAAAACCAATGGTCATAAAACATGTAGTAGAGGCACATGCAATCATCCATATTCCTTTTAAGTTTGAACATGTATAAAAGGTGCAACTTCGCCATCATAACAAGCCATGACAAAAGTTTAGGACACAAACAAAAAAGAGAAAAGTGAAAATAATCAGTTTTCAAGTTCAAGTTTAGTGGTTGACTCAAAGCAACCAAAAAAAAAAAAAAAACACAAAGAAACCAAAAGGGAACTAGGACATAATCAATAAAATTATTTATGACAGTTTATGAAAGAAAAATCTTGACTTCCATCCTAGCTCGCTCTTTACTTGAATAAAAAACGAAAATTAAGTACCTTCAAATCATATCCTGTCTACCGGGCAAAAAAAAATGGCGCTTGCTTCAATCAAGTTACTTATAAGCATCATGTTTCTGATTAGTAGGAACCTGCAAAAGTTCAAAAAGAAGACACATTAGATTCAGATAACAAAGAAATTGCCTCCTGATCCAAAAAAGTGGCATTCTGATATCTTTGATAACTCAAGTACATGGAAGAAGACAAGAATATTAAGATAAAAAAAAAATGAAAGATTATATAGTTTATAACCATAATGCCCTCAAGGAGGTTTCTCAGAGACAGATACACAGAGCCAGTTTGGCATACTGGCCACCTCCAATTTGTGTCAGCATCTGGGGTGGTCCTTAATAACCCACTAATAATGGAGGTGGACAGAATGCCAAAATGTCTATGGAACAAGACCCCTGAGAAACCCTATAGAGCAAAAAGAAAGCATAAGGAAATGGAGAATTCTAGCTAAAGTTTACTGAAGATGAGATAGGTTATAATAAAGATATGAAGGAAGAAACTAAAAAGTTTTCTATAATTAATTTAAGAGATGCTTTTTGTAGAAAGAAGGTGCATCAGCGTGCATGGACTTGTACCATATGTGGGGATATGGTGGGCGCTTTTGTTGTTGTAATTATAGTAAAGACTTTCAATTCAACCTTAATTAATATCTACTTATATGTTGTTTTGTATCCTTTAAGTAAAACTATATATCGAGACTTGGCTTTACAATGGATCATCTTGTACCTGCTTGCATATATGCAATGTGGTTTTTTTTTTTTCTTTCCCTTTGACCAAGAGGGACATGCACTTTCACTATGCTTTTTGACTTGCTGCAAAAGGAGGATGCAAAATGTGCTGTCCATGTCTCCCACTCAGTTTTTGGTTACTTTGTCAACGCTTTGTCAATTCAAACTTCATGTTTGAATACTAATAAACTATATGTACATCATTTATAATTATTAAAGATCGTTTTTGGTTGATGCGTAGGAAGTGGAAACATAAAATAGTATTATTTTCTGGACATAATAAACCAAGTTTTGCCAAAGTTGATGGCATTGGTATTTAAAATAACCAATTAACCATAAGAAGAAATACTAGAACAGAGTTACTTTTGCAATACGGCTAGCTGTACATATAAGGGCTTATCACTTCTTTGCGCTTTACGCAGGGCCACATTTTATTACTATCCACACTGTATTAAACATATTTAGTATCACCTAAAAGAAAAATAATTTACAAATAAAATGAAATATAATTAACAGTTTCACTCTTAATTAAACATAAAAATTTCAAAGTTGAAAGAGCTAGGGAATTAGGAGTGGCAGAAACCAAAGAGGTAGAAGAATTAATGACATCATCTTCATGAAGGGCAATATCATAACGTTTAACATTGGATAAGTTTTTTCAAACTGCAGAGGATCTCAGCTGTTCAAAATAATTTATTTAATGAAAAATTATTAAAACTAAATTTAATTAAATGAATATCAACCTTTAGATTTTCAACTTCAGGAGCTGTAGTTCATTTTAGGACTGTAGAGGACCCGGATTACATATAACATTTTCATATTTCATTCAATCCATCAAGGCCCTCCTCTTCAATAGAAAATCTAGTGTTTCTCGTTAGCCTATGTAGCTTTCTTTGCTTTGTGAAACCTCAGGTTCAAAACGCCTTCGTAGTTATAAGCATTTTACTGCCTTCTTCACTATGCAAGAAGAATTACGGAACACCAAATCGATTCAACGAACCACACATGGACTATTAATATATTATGTTAGCACTGGTTGCTTTTAACTATTTCCTGACCAACATGTACATCATTTGAATCACTAGCTATAAAGCCTATTTGTATTTCACAATAAATCAGGAGGAGGATCAGGATTTCAAAATACATGAACCTTTAGACTAAAATTTTAAATATATTACCTCTCTATTTTTTTTCTTTCTTTTTATTTCTCCTCTTCTCGTAGAGGGTTAAGTATTCTATTGCAATCTACAATTAATATGAAGAAATGAGATTTATATTGGTACTTGTGAACTTCTACCAATGAATTTTTGCTCCATTTCTAGGTAACATACTTGACTTCAATACTCTGGTTTCCTCAAGCATCTTCAATCTACATAATGAGCTATGCAGCAATGCTACTTCCAAACACAGGGCTATCATCTTGCACTAATTCTTTAACTGGGTTTTCCTTTGCCCAGACAGCAGCATCGAGATATCCAAGCTCAAAGAGGCGGTCAAGAATAGCATCTTCTGCTGGCTCAAGTGCCCATTTAAAAAGCTGAAATGATTCCATGCAGAATACTCATCTACATATCCTTGGGAAAATTATTATATTAATTCACAAAAATGCAGGGTTACCTGTCGGGGGCTCCACACGTTTTCAGGATTGCAGTCTGGACTAATCCCTATCCCCTGTAATCCCAATCGACTTGCTGGGAAAGCACAAACACGAACCTGTAAAGAGGTAAATGCTTATTCAGGTTAAAATGTGACAAAAACTTGATAAATCATAAATCTGATGAATGAATCACATCAGAATTGAAACAAAAAAATCATAGTGCATGAATATTTTCAATTATGTCAGATAGTCAGAGTAGCCAAGGTACACTATAATTCACTTATCCAGAACACTAAGCTTCCTTTCGCTCAATATCAATTTCTTTATTGATACTTCCCCCCCCCCCCCCCCCCCCCCATCCCCCGAAATAGAGAAATACATTTCATCTCTTTTCAGATGTTCCAAGAAAGTCAGAATTATTTTCTTAGCCATCATTTTATATGAGTACCTCAAATTAGTTTTTGAATAGAAACCATGGGGCTTCCATTTTTTTAAACTGAAAAGTACCTTAAAACATGAATTGCCCAAAAGGAAATTGTTAATGGAGAGAGTAAAAAATGAATAGCCTAAAACAACATTTCCGACACCAAAGTTTACTCTCTGATCAATCATTGGTAGATTATCTAAATATTGTACGAGAAAATTATTCAATAACCATCCCAATCTTTGTATAACACCAAATCCTCCATATGACTCCACATAACAAATGAAGCGAGTAGTGGATGCAATCATCTTTTACTTGCAAACCAGAATGATTGAGTTTCTGAACTTGGCCTCAGAAAATGTCTTCTGAGGAAAGAATTCCCTCTTAGATAATAGATATCACATAGAAGTAAATTAAAGCAAAAATTAAAAAAAAAATTGCAAGGCTTCCCAATACATTTAAACAGAGATTTCACGAAATAATCAATCAACAGAATCAATAGCACAACTAATAAATAAATTAATAAAAATACTGTTTGTGCTGCAGATGTCGGAGGCATAAACAACGTTAAACCCCCATCAATGCATAGTCGATTTCGAAACATCGTTGCTGGCCTTGGTGCAAGATATCTGGAGCAAGTATAATTTTTAATAAATTACTTAATCATTTATAATGAGTAAAAAACATTAGATGCAACCAAGGAAAAATAGTACACTAACAAATCACCCTGGAATAAAGGAAGAAGTAAAAACTGCATTGATGAGATCTTCCTTGGAATCAAACTTATCCACCAACAAACCCCTAGGTCTCCAAAGAAGCTGTGTCACAGCAACTGTGACAGAAGGTACATATTAGGGCACAGAAAGACCTAAAAAAATCTCTACTAGTAATAAAGAGAACTCTTGGCAGTTTTCATCTTCACTTTATGGCCCAAAAGTTCCAAAAAAGTCCTTATTTTCTTCTTCTTTTTTTATTAATAAACTAATAAACCATGAATCTACAAATGTAATTTAATAATTAAAATAATAAACATAAATTGTTGTAATCATAACAATTCCTTCTAGTCCTATATTTTCTCATGTTTAGGGTGTGTTACTTCTAGTCCTAGAGAGAGAGAAAAAAAGGAGAAGAATTTCCAGTTTTGTTCTTTGCACAAGACAATTTTCCATAACAAAAATAGCTGAAGTGCTGAACATCCAGTAGTACCTCGAACTCTCCCATTGGATCTTATATGAGCATCATCTGGCAAAAACTTGTCAAGAACGCCACGTAGAACAGCCTATGCAGAGAAAAAATTGTACCAGAAAAGGTGAGATTTGAACTAATAAAAAGTTCCATAAGCATTATATTACAATAAAAGAAAATCTCAGCCTTACATCATGGATAATAATTTAGTTACATTTTCACAGTCCTCTGCACATCACACAGGCTCTCATTTCGATTAAACTCATATCAATTAACAAAAATATCTTATCAACATTTATATCCCAAAAACAAGAGAGGTTATTTATAACTGACACTTATGTTCCAGACAAGTTCTTCCTTTCCAGTTCCAAAGTTCCATTAGAATCCAAGGAAAGTGGCATGGCTCTAAAGGGGTAAATAATTGAGATTATCACTAATCACACAATTTAGCAGGATTTTTTTGGGACTCCAAATTCACAGAAATCTTAATTCACTTGTCACTTATTTGTCTCTATGGTTCTTGTACCTTCACCTAATAACTTAAACTTTTGGGCATAGTTGGTTCATGATAGTTCTAATCCTTACCCACATTTCACTGTAATGATTCAGACTTTTTCCACAAGTGAAACTACACATGTCTACATCAGACCAAGCCAACAACTGATTACCAAATTTTTGTTTTTGCAACCTATAACTGCAATATTATCAGTTAAATGTAATCTGCATCCTAGAATACTTTGAGGGATGATGCTAAGAGAATTTATATTTATTTTTAACTTTTTATAGAAAAAGAAATTGAGTGCAAGCCTTGGAACAGCAATAAGGTTGCTCCTTGGTGATTAGAAGGTCACGACATCGATTCTAGGAAATATTCTCTTTGTAAAAATGTAAGGGTAAAACAGTATACAATCGGTCTTATCCCTACCGTTAAAGTCGGGAAGGTTTATGCACCGACAAACTCTTTATAGAAAAAGAATAATTATTATAAGGAGAATAGGGAAAGTACACAATAAAATAGGATAAGGAATCCTCCTAGGAAAGAAAAAGAAAGTACAAGATGACAAATGCAGCAAAGCTGCCCAACTCATCACAAGTCAGAAAAGGATACCCCCTAGAAATAGTTATTAGTTGCTGAACACGCACAAGAGGAGGGGAAATAAAGACACCCTTGAATCTCCAACCAAATGCACCAAAGGATTGCATAGATTGAACATTGTCACAGATCTTATCTTCCCTTTTGGAAAAACCTTTAAACCTAGCCAGAAGAAATTGTTATTAAGTAGATGGACACACCTACTGCTAGCCAAGCATCTCAAACAATCTATTCCATAAAAAGTAGTCGCCTTACAGTGCAAGAATAAGTGCCCCGTTGTTTCTGAACTAGGGAAGCACATAATTCACATATCCAGAGAAAGAGTGTAAGGCTTGCAAACTTGCAACAAATAATTCAAACAAATCCTATAAAGTACTGCTGTCCAGAAAAAGACTTTACTTTAGAGGGAGTTTTGGATTTCCAAATCAGATGGTCAAGAAGGAATATCTAAACAGGAGTAGAGTGAGTTAGAAAATGAAAAGAAAAGAAAGCTCGCCAGAAGAGTCCATAGTCCAAGCACAGCAGAAGGAATTCTAGCTTGCTAACTCCCCTATCTAAGTCTTTGTGAAAGTGTAAATCCAAAGATAAAAGAATTTTGACAATAAATAAGATATATCGTGCAAGGTACAGAGATAGTTGAGGTGGAGAAAAGCCTCTACATTATGTCATTTCCAACCCAAACATTGGGTGTGGGAATTTGATTATCAGCATTCAAGCCCACCAGATCACTCTATGTACTGTTATTTGCAAGATCATCGTTAATCTATAAAATACTACATATAAAGTACTTTCAGAACAGAGGCATACCCCCAGCCGAAATGCGGTCCCCCCATTCCGACAATCTTCAGCCAATATTTTAGTAGCATTCAAGGCTTCTTCCATACTAGCTCCAGAAGCAATCACGGCACAGACTATAGCTCCAGCAGAGGAACCAGCTAAAGGTGTGGTTTCCTGCGAGTGCATCATAAAATTCTCACCATAAACTCAAGACTTGACCATAAAATTAAGACATAAAAAAGTGTTTCCAAAATGATAGATTAAATAACTTGTAGCACAAGCATAATATGCCAACAAGGACATATAAAGAAACATGAAGTTACGAGTGAGCAGAAGCCAGCGCCTAGCAAGGCACATTCCAGTTTAAAACATTGAGCATTTAAAAAGGAACTCCCAGAGCAGCAAGGTCTAATCTAATTTAATAAGTATCCAATTTGAATACTTGTTCCTATAAAACTCAATTAACAAAAAAAGAAATTACATATATAAACAGAATGAGAAACAGTGAAAATTCAATATACGATTATAAACACAATAAATATATAAATTAACCTTAATGTAACCATTCTCAATGAGAAACTGAGCAACTCCAAGATGGTAAGGGAAGAGAAGTCCAGCAGCAGAAAAGCTAAAACCAGGTGTTGTAACCACTCGCCTATTGCGCTCCGCTTCAACGTCCTTAACCCTTTGTTCCCAAACGACGTCGGGTTCAATCTCATCCTCCACCACCGCACCAATTCTCTCCTCGTAAAACTCCCCTGAATTCTCGAACATGGCCACGGAAGCCGAATCGCCCACGAGGCTTCCTGTATTGCTGCGGCGTTTGATCAGACGCGACGCAATCCCCAAGAAGAGCTCACCGGTGGCGACGGCGAACGATTTCTTCTCGGAGGGTTCAGGAGGAGGAGTGGTGGAGTCATGGACATTGCGCTGGTTTGAAGAATTGGAGACGAAGCTGAGGAATTGGGTTCGTCTATGGAAAAATGAGGAATTAGGGTTACAATTTGGAGAGGGGAAACGAAGAGAGCGGGAAGGTGAGGCGAGGGAAGAGATGGTAGGAGCCATGGCCGTGCCCATCAACCACCGCCAACCAAAAACACTCACTGTTGTTGTGATTCGCGAGGGAGCCACGACCATTTTTTACGTGTTTTTTTTTTTTTTTTTTTAATTATTTCGATTTCCACGGTGGATAGTCTCGCTCGTTTCGATTATTATTATGTGTGTAAACGGGGGTATATCATTTTACATCGACTTATGATTTAGCTTATATTAGTTTATATTAAGTTAAATTTGGCCTATTACAAATGGGATAGGATATTGTGACATCCAAGTTATGTTACACCCATGTGACACCCAGTCAATCTCACCGTTAGATCGCTTATGTTGATCCAACGGTTATATTTATTTCCATCTTTGTATGGTCATGATTTCCCAAAATTAATATTTTATATTATTTCTACCTTTGTATGGTTATGATTTCCCATATTTAATGCTTTCACTTTAAATTTGGGAAATCATGACCATACAAAGATGGAAATAAATATAACCGTTGGATCAACATAAGCGATCTAACGATGAGATTGACTGGGTGTCACATGGGTGTAACATAACTTGGGTGTCACAACATCCTATCCCATTACAAATAGTAAACTAGAACAAATCTAGATTTTTAAAAAATCTTATTTAGAAAATATATCACAGACTTTTTTGTATATGTTAAGCCTATAAATCTACAGGTCGACTTATATCATATTATTTATTTTAAATAAAATAAATAAAATTATTATTTTAACAATTTTAAATAATAAAATATTATTATTTTAGTTATTCTTTTAATTGTTGAATGTTTAATAGGCTTAAACAAGCTAACAGCCCTAAGGCAAAATTTTTATTTTTTAAATATAGATCAGATCAGACTTATAATTTAGGACATACACAGGCTAATAAGTCAGACCAGACCTAATATAATTTATATATGTCTGATTTATTTAAATCAAAGCCTAGTCTGGTCTAGTCTAACCTATTTACATTATCACCATCACTTGGACTTGAAGCCCACCTTTCTTCTCTTAATGGGTTGGGTTCGGAAGGATATCGTACAATGGGCTACAAGCCCAAACATTTTCGCAAACCCTTTTGTATGAGCTTCCGTATCATTATTTTAAGAACGTGTATCATACCGAGATTGATACACAAGATTACGATAAAATCTTTTCCGTAAAAAAACTGCGATCAAGTGTGTTGGATACTATCTAATGAGTTAAATACTCTCACTTCAACTTGTATATTGCTTAATTGACTTGAGTCATGACTCATACGTCGTAAAGTTAAAGAAGTTCATGGGCAAATTTCTATATAAGTGAGTATTTATGCATTAAGAAAGCACTTAATCTAAGAAATTCTTGCCTTATATAAGTTATTAGATATTTTTAATCTATGAATTTGATGATAATTGTGTTATTTAGAATATTGATATATCTTTCTTTATTTTTTACGATTTTACTATAATACAATTAAAGAAAAAGTATATTTTATTAATATTATGTATCCAAATAAGATTTATTTATAATCTTTATTTATCTCTGGGTTATAAATTCCCTTTACGTGCCTTATGTAATTTAGACTTATTAATATTTTGTTTCTTTCAGAAAGTATTTGAAACTTGAGTCGGAATGAAACTCTACCTTACAGAAGTAGTCTAGGTTTGTTTACCCTGCTAAGAAAAATACTCTTGTTTACCAAATACCCTGCTAATAAGAATACATAAGTTGCGTGTTGTTTTAAGTTATGCCAATGTTTTAAATATTGAACTGAAAATTATAAATAAAATATAACAGAAAGAAAGCATACACGGGCAGAAATCCCAGGCACAAAAACTGGACCACTTCTTGACTTGAATGTTGGTTCAGTGGCAGCATTAATTCATGCCAACAATTGAAGGCACTACTACCAATTCTGGGGGCTCCCACATCAAAGAGGGACTCTATAAGATGGATCCACCATTTTCAAGATGAACAAGTTACCTCTATCACCTCTTGATATTCTGTCAGGTTTAGGTAGAAGAAAGAAATTCAAATTTAAAGTCAGCATGGAAATCTATACCCTGCCTTATATATGCATGATTGACATGTATTGTTTTGATTTTGTGTATGCGCGTACAAGTGGTTAACTAACCTAGTAGTTCATCATGTCCTATAAAATTAAAAGTACAATTAACGTTGAATTCCACAAATAAAAAAGATGTGAGCATGTGAGACAGGGCTAGAAAATTCTGTTAGTCACACTTACCGTAAATTATCATCCAGATAAGTAATTTCCAACTGACCACGACCACTCCCAGGTGATTTAATAGGTATCTGTACTTAGTATTGTAGACTCATTTGTCAGGAACATATTAGTGAATTGCAAAAAACAAGAAGAAGAAATAAAGATTCTTTAGAACACAAACTATGGAACTCTTTAAAGTGGCCATTAACATGGTAGAGCTTCATGTGATGAAAAGGTATGCAAAGAAGTTAAATCCAAGATCTACTTTTTTTTAATCTGGTTAGAATAACTGGAGTTTTTGCCTGAATTATCACTGTTATTCTAAGCTTCAGAATAACTGGCTGGGAACTGGGATAAACACTTATTGTTACATATTTTCAGGTATAACAAGTGATTCGAGACTACAACTATGCTCGTATCTAAGTTTTAAATGCATTTCACCGGGAGTAAGAAATTGGTTCTGAGTTTCAATAATTTATTATTCCTTAAGATATTTTCTTAATACATGACAAATAGACTAAATATTAAAAGTAATTACGAGAAGTAATTCACCTACCAGACTAGCAATTTTGAAGAAGTCAAACTTGACAGCCACCCTTCTTGAGTTAAGAGGCACTAAATTGGCAGTGGCCTGCAGCAATAGTGGCAATTTGTAGGCTCCGAAGTAATTGTGAATTTAATGAAGTTGATCAGAAAAAATTACTGGCAACCAATTATTTAGCCCCTATAACTTACACAGTTACTTAACACCTAGGATTTTGTTTATCCAAGAGATTGAAAATGGTCTTTAAAACTTCATCTTAAAACAAGCCACTGTTACAGATATGACATACATACTTGAAAGAATCCAATTAGAAAGTGGAAGCTTTAAACTGAATGGATTAGACCAGTATCTAAAACCATTTTGATTATACTTTATTGAGATTTAAAATCATCACTTAACTTTAAGCTCAATAGAAAAGGTAGTATTTAGATCCACCGGCTAGCATGTGGTGTCTCTGGACAAGTGAAACTGGAACTGCCACTTATAACAGAATTCCAGAGTGGTAAAAATGCATCTGTGTGCTCAGGACAAGTATGCCTTACCAATTTATCTCAAACACCAAGACGATATCTCTAGAATTGTCTTCCAATTACTTTTGCATACTCGTGTTCATCTCAAACAGAATCATATTAGAATATGTTGCACCATCAAATGCACCAAGCTTTTTATATGAATTCTTATAGTGAACAGCTTATATCTAGGTCATATTTTTATTCCCATTTCAACTACATGGATTTACTGCAAGAAACCACTGAACTGGGCTTATATTTGGAATGTTCAAAGTCCTGTTCCATATTATGTTTCTCTTCAACAAGAGTGACCAGTTGAAATACTTCACAAACCTAGTTGTATGAATAATAGCTGAAGTACAGCACAGAATTTGCTTTGTCTATGTTTTCAAACACTATAAATAGATATTAAACTAGATGTTAAAACAGTAATACCTGGTTGTAGAACGGCCAAGTTTCCATATTTTGAGCTCTCAAGGTATCCACATTAATTGCCTGATAGATCTTTCCATTCGGCCGCAAGAATTTTGGTCTCTAGGATAATAATACAACAACAATTCATTCTCACTTTACTAAGGCAAATGAATAAATTTGAGAACGATACTGCAAAATCAATCATATTGTAATAAGTATAAAAAAAAAGGAAGAAAGACTGCTACATAATTCCTCTTTGAAGTGAGATCAGCCAAGGAACGATGACCAAGTAATACAAGTCAAGCAAAATTGACTCACTCATAATTGATATGATTCGATCTTTGTCCCAACTCCCAACTATGAAAATTTTCCCCAGGTGCGTTGATAAGTCATCAAAATAAACAATTTCACCCCTTTAGACCACAACAAGGAGTGGTCTATATTCACATTTTCCAGTAAAAAAATAAATAAGGAGTGGTCTAAATTCAATTTGGGAAATGCAACTAATTACTAAATTGCAAATTCAACCCAAAAGCTTAAACTTAAACTTTTTTAACACATCCCCTCCCTCACGTAAGAGCTCTTGCGTTTAAAGTATGAATATTGTACAAACCCAATTTTATTTTATTTTTTGTCTATTTTATGCTGTCTTAATTCAACTAGAAAGTGAAGGGCGGTGAGGATCGAACCGACCATGTTAAGCAACCATTTCACCTAATAGCTTAAGGTTGTAAATGAAGCCATCAATAGTTTTATATTATATTTCTCTAAAACATCCCTCACGCAAAAGTCTTTGAGCTTAAAGCGTGGATATTGCACATGTCGATTTTTTTGTTTTTTACATTATATTTCTCTAAGAGGTGTTCATTGTAATAAAATTGCCTTTATCATCTGTCTCATGTTGCCATCAAATCTAGACCACATACACAGGTCATGAAATCTTCATTTGGATCACAGAAAGAGCAGAATGGAAATGTAAAGGAATCTGAATTTGTAAACCCCTAGAAGTAACATAGACAAACCTTTGTTTGAAGAACTGATTGAGATGTTGTATATAAAAGCTCCCATTTTCCATTGAGCAAATCAGACTTGAGAGGCTCCTTAACAGAATTCACAGCCTCAAGTTTACGAGCAATCTAGATAAGACACAGTTAAAGTCACAAACAAGGAAACCAAGAAAGACAGTGAAACAAAGCCACTTAAGTTATGCATGTAACATGTAACATGTTAATGTTTGTTTCACTTTAACCTGGTCCACACGCTGTTGATCCTCAGGAGTAGCCTCGGCGCCTCGGTCAAGGGGTGCAATTGTTTCATAGAGCTCTACCTTGAGGCTCTGAACATCTTTACCTCCAGTAAGAAAACCTGGGAAAAATGAAACCATGTTCCTCCATTTCCCAGAATCAGCAAAAGGTAATATGATGTGGGTGGTCTTGAATTTTGGTCGTGGGAATGATAAAAGAGGATTTGGTTGTGAAGGATGGGAATCAATTACACATTTGAATGGCAGAGTAGCAGTGGAAGTGTAGAGAGCCATTGAGAGTATGGGTTATGCTTATGCACTGCCAACCATTAAAATTGAGTGTAAAGTATGATTAGGATTAGAATTGTAACTATAATAAGAATTAAGCGTTACTGAACAAAATTTATGCTCAAAACGTGAAAACAAGCTCAACATGAGTGTGTAATCTGCAGTTTTCCTTAAAATATTTCACCATAGAATAGAACATGGAGTTACAACCTATTTTCTTTTACAATCTCTTACAACTAATATTTTAATCGTTGATTTCCGTCCATCAACGGTTAAGATTTATTGTGAATTGATAATTATTTAATAAACTTTATTTGCAAAAATCTTAACAGTTGATTGACGGAAATCAACAGTTAAGATATTAGTTGTAAAAGGTTGTAAGTATAACTTTCCCTAATAAAATATTATGAACCTAGTAATTAAACTTTTACTTAATAATAATACCCTTGTGGAACTGTAATGGCCCAAATCATTTGTACATCTAGGAATCTAACCCACAGAAACTGTTGGACCAAATCATTTACACCTCTCGGAATCTAACATTCAGAAACTGATGGGCCAAATCATTCGCCTTACGTTTCTTTGCTCCCAATTTTCTTTTCCGTAAGTCTCAAATTTCTGTCTTTCCAAACAATATAATCCAATACCATGATTGATTTGAAATTTCTAGCAAAATAATGTGTATTAGAATCCAGAGAATTTTTTTTAAAACAGTATATATGACATGTAAACTTTAAGGGATTGATATTTTTCATGTTATAGGAAATAATTTTATCTCCTACATATACATAAAAATGTATGAAACTCATTTTTTTTTTGTCTCTTTTTCTCCTATGGCCCCACATACTTTTATGGACATATATATGTGATAAAATTATCTCGTATAATATGAGAAATATTAATCCCAAACTTTAAAGTATCAAATTAATTTTTTTTGTCGTCCCGTACGAATTTTTTCGAATTCACAAATATTATTAGTTATCGGTTCTGAGTAAAATCGTAATTCACCTGAAATTTGAAGAAGACCCTCATTAATCCCTCAAAAGGACTTATTTTAAATTTCAAGAGATCATGAGTTAACTTTTTTTCCCTAAAGGATTAAGGGCCGGTTTAGATGAGCAACTCCTATCTGTAGGGCGGGCTTTCAAGACAGAGATGCACTAGGTTGTGTTGTCCTCCCTCCGGTCGCCTTGATGAAGTTATAGCATTTATTACAGGAATTTTGGGTTATACCCGGTATTCCCCCCTAAAGGATGCTGCTTAATTACGAAGGAAATTCTTTCTGAATCTAGAGAAAGAGATTCTATTAGTTAGGTTAGCTCGTTAACAACGTCTATAGGTTAGTCGATCTAAGTGCCAAACTTTCTGAATCTAGCTGAGAGCTTTACCCGATGACTTTTATGCATTGCTTTTTTAAAAATAAATTTTTTTAAAAGGTAAAGTTATTTTACGTTTGGATGTATGATCTGAAAATCACTTTTACATAAAAAATTTGTTTAGATGTTAAAATAAAAAAAAAACACTTTTATATATAAAATTACAGTAAATGAGAAATAAAATAGCATGATCGTGAGATAAGGAGAGATAAAATAAGTATGATAAGATAAGGTTAAAATTGTATTTTAAAAATTTATATTATCTTTTTTTCTCGAAAAAATTTTTATTTTATTTTTAATTTCTGCTTTTTTCCAAAAGCAACCAACTACTGGCTATAAAAAAAAGCAGCATTTTAACTTTTATTTTAATTTTTTTTTTTAAAAAGTTGTTATTCAAACATCTAAAAATTCTCAAAATGACTTTCATTTTAAAAAAAAATAACTTTTTTAGGAATAAAAGCCCATCCAAACGGGTACTAAATTGGGTCTCATAATATTTGTTAAGGATCCAAAAAATATTTTACTCTAATTAATATATTGTACGACAATTGTTTGAGTTTTAGTGTATATGAATATGAACGCCTTCATATAGAAACCGTAACTAGAGAGAAAAAGAATGAAGCAGAAAAATGTTATGCAAAACAGATATAGAATTGTGATTGAGTGTATGTCTTGCTATATATTTAGGCATAGAAAGTTCAGAAATTTAGTAAAAGAATGTGATCGTATAAAATTAGCAACCCCAAATGCATATGTATGAATTATCAGCCCATGTTGTTATTTTGTTAGGAGAGGACAATCATATGTCAACAATCCAACCACCATGAGAGTTGCTACGTACTATCAAATTCTTGGTGGTTGGGTGCTTCTTAATTTTTATTTATTTATTTTTTTTCTCTCATGGTGTTGCAACAAACGCGGGTTTCTTGTGCTCACTCTTTACAAAAGCCACACGTTTCAAAGTTCGAACACCCTTTCCTCACTTTTTATTGGCCTTATATTATTAAGGGGAATACTTTTCTCCTTTTAACAGGAGAGAAGAATTATCTCTCGCTGAAACAAAAAAGTGGAACCAGCAATTTAAAAATTGACATGAAAGTCAATGTATGTGTAGGAATAAAATCTTATCTCATGTGAAAGGAGAAAAACATTTCTCTATTATTAATAGCAAATATAAATATGAAAATGCTAATGTCCAAACAAATATTATTATAGTAATTTTGATAAATTTATAGTCACGATGGATCTCAGCTCTTAATAGAATAGATGATGCCTGCATTTATTTCTGTTTTTTCTTAATTTTAAGTTAGGTCAAAAAATGAAAGAATATTTAAATGGAGAGCCTGTACGATCTTGATTGATTTTTTACTTCGTTAAAAAAATCATTCAAATATCATTAAATTAAATCAACATTTTTCTAAGGAGACTCTCTTCATATTTCATTATAATTCGCTCCATATCTATTTTTCTTTCTTATTTTTCTGATCGACAATGTGGCCCTCTGGTTTTGTCAAAAAAATTATTATATTATTTATGATTTATTCAATACAACTGGCCAAATTGGTATATCCGTTGTTCTGTACCTAATATTTGATTCGGTTGTTGTCTCTTTTTCATCTTAAAATTCCTTTTTTTTTTTTTTATACTTTCTTTATCTCACTAATTTCCTTTTGAAAACGAGGTTTGGCAGAAAATTATCTTTTATTTTATGAAGATTTCTAAAATATTACCTCCTAATTAAATTCAGAAGTTCTCTGTTTTTTTTTTATCAAAGTTCCATTTAAAGGCATGCAAATTTTCTATCCGGTTTATTTCTTGGCTTAAAAGATAAGTTAATCAATCATCCAAAAAAGAAGAAGATAAGTTAACATTTTTATTATGAAATGAAACCAACTTAATTTATTTAAACAGTAAGCAAATCACCTTAGAGTTATTGGACTAGTCACAATCCAAATTGTTTTTTTTTTTTTTTGATTGTATCGATTTAGTTAAACAGCCATTTACAAATTCTTTTATTCAAATCCCAAAGAAATTTTCAACCTATAATTTTCTAACAATTAATTATCCAAATCTTTTATTAGTGTTTTTTCCTCGTTGACCGTTATCTAATAAAATATATTTTTATTAAAATATAGTGGGTGGAAACTATTTATTAAGGCTAGTGTTATGTGATAAATTTTGGTAGTTTGTTCAAATTTCACTTTCTCTTTGGCACTTATTTTGTCACTCCACAAAAATAATAGTTAGTGTTAAAAATAATAATTAAATATTTTAATTTCTCAATCACCTGTATGTTCTCACTTCATACAGATATTAATTAGCATGATAAATAATAATTAATATACCATAATTAAAATAATATATAATATAAATATTATTATTTTGAAAATAAATACTAAATTCGTTGAATTAAATAATAAACTAACATTGTAAATAATTCTCATTTATTGGATGTGATACTTCCAAATCACTACAAATTTAAACAAGTCAAAAAATTTATCTATAATTTATTATTCAATTTTATCTTTCTTTTTTTATTTATCGAAAAATTTATATTTAAATTATTTATAATATATTTAATTTTTTAAAATTTGCAAAAATTGCATTAGACAATTTAAAAATAGTTATAATCTTAATTATTATATATCAATTATTATTTATCAAACAAATTAATATTTATATGAAAACAGTAAATAAGAGTAAAAGAAATAATAAAATTTGGAACGACTGTTATAACGCTGCCACGTGCCATCATGGTATTGTTTGTTAGAAATGTGACTTCCTTATTCAAGGGGAAGGTGAATTGAGAATTATAATTTTTTTACGAAAGCCCTCTTCTATTTTCTAAATTTACCATTTCAAGCAAACTTTTGATATATGAAAAACTAATAAATACATTTAAACAATTCATAACATATAATATATCACAATCATAGAACCTATACTAGCACATACAATATATCAAAGAGGCAATTAAAGTGCTAGCATTCTAGAAATAAAGATTTTAGAGTTTAGAGAATTGCAAACACAATATATCTTGGTTAGGTCACCACCTATAATGCATCGACACTTCAAAAAATCTGACGTGCCGTATCTGAAACTCCTCGACACTCCTACATGCATTGCAGAGACTCAAAAAAGGATTCAAAGATTGCTTTGCATTTTTAGTTACAACTATTAGATTCATTGGATTATGATTACCATTTTATTGAGTTTAATATAAATATTTGTGATATCTTATGTTTCTTTGCAAAATTGATAGGTATTATAAGTTTAGCTTCATTTTTTTTTAAAATTATTGAATATTAAATATAGTGTACACTACATAAATTAAAAAATTATTTAATATCAAAACGTGTTCTAACGTGTCAAAATCTAACATTTTTAAAATTAACGTGTCAGAGTATCGTGTCGGTGCAACATAGGTCACCACCACTTGTGACTTACATCTAGACTAAAGTTGATCGATCAATTATTTCACTTTAGTGTCAAGCTTCACAGGTGCTTGACAAACCTTTACAAACTCCAAGCCTCCGAGTTCTTGGAAACCTTACAATGCACTAAACTTTACGGGTGCTTAGTAACCTTATAACCACTAAGCTTCGTAGGTTTTTAGAAACCTTTCAACAGGCAAGCTTATTGGGTGCTTGGTAAACTTACAATATGATTTTATAGTAGGAGAATGATGATCAATTGATAACTCTCTCAAAGAGCAAGTATACAAATTGAAACTC